TGAATTCTGCATTCACTGAATGGGCTTACTTTAAAATATTCCTTCTTTATTCTTCAGATATTGGCATATCAGCAGTGATTGAGTATATATATAGGGAGGTTTTGATCACTTATTTAGTGAATGTGAACAGATAGTTTGGATAACTTAGGTTTTCAAATACTATTCTTTTTCAATAGCCTTAAACAATTAATTGCATTTTGCTTCAGTTAGGTAAATCTCAAAATTTTTGTTTCAATTTACCATTGTAGTCAGAACTAAGGAAGTAAGATCTGTAATAGTGGAGGAAAATTTTCCATTCAAATTTTCTCTATCCTAGGATATGGAGAATACATATAACTTACAATTCCTATAAATACCATATTGCCATAAATTTATATCCTTTTCCTGAAAATACATATCATACATGGCTCTTGTAAAATATTTCTCTAGCTCAGTGTATGTCTTTCAGTAATGCTACAGGGCTGTGTTTCTAAATATCCATAAAGGATCATAGATTTTATTGTGCTTGATTGCAGAAGGCAGTACTCCCCTGGAACTAGCAGTTTGCACCTACATAACTGGGATATTTTCTCCCTGGCTTTTAAACTGAAGAAGAATGCCTGAAGCAGGGGGTGTCATAATATCAGCTGCATGCAGGGCAGGCTGCTGGGAAACATGTGTCATTAGCGCCCTCCTGCTAGGAGATGTGTACCATTCATTATATTTAAACATGACTATGCCCCACAGGGACAATAAGCAGGAACAAAATAAGTCTTCCCAAACATATCTCACTTTCCCAAACAAATCTGCAAAATGGTTACATTTATGGGAAGACTTTCCATGATAAATTTTTTGACCTATGAGGTGAGGAAATGAGCCCATACGGTTATTAAAAATAACAAAAAATACTTCTTAAATTAAGGACACCTTCTGATTACTTTCTAAGATGAATTAGTGATATCATGGGAAATTACTAATTGAATTTGAAAAAAGCCTTTGTGATATTGGTAATGGAATTTAAAAATGTATATCATCATGGTTTAGTAAGCAATGATGCATTTCTTTTCTCTGGATCATCATGTCAGTATCTGACACCATTTTTTGACTATGATGATCCTAAAAAGTAAGGTATTGAAATAAAGTGGACTTAGAACTCAAATATTGTATCTTTGGGCAGAAATCTTTTTAAAAAAATATTTTATGTATTTGAGAGAGAAAGAGAGAGAGAGAGAGAGAGAGAGAGAGAGAGAGAGAGAGAGAGGAAGAAGGACAGAGAATCTGAAGCAGACTCTGCATTGAGCCCAGAGCCTGACATGGGGCTCGATCCCATGACTGTGAGATCATGGCCTATGCCCAAACCAAGAGTCAGATGCTCAACCACTCAACCGAGCCACCCAAGCACCCCTGCGTAAAAATCATCTTTAAATATAAAGTGATAGATTGGGGATCCCTGGGTGGCTCAGCGGTTTAGCGCCTGCCTTTGGCCCAGGGCGCGATCCTGGAGTCCCGCGTCGGGCTCCTGGCATGGAGCCTGCCTCTCCCTCCTCATGTGTCTCTGCCTCTCTCTCTCTCTCTGTCTCTCTCTCTCTCTCTGTCTATCATAAATAAATAAATCTTTAAAAAAAATAAAGTGATAGATTGTACTAGAGGGAAACATGAAAAAAATTCTCTACTGATAGGCAAATGTTACCCTTTGTTAGTTGCATATTCCGTGCCAAGTCACTAAACAAACAGTAGAAGAACAAAAACCATTTGGAGAAATCTGGATGGATATATCACTAGTTAATTTGAGCTGGCTTACTTTTCACTTGTAGCACAGATATAAGCTGCATCATATACAGAGACACTGAAATGGTTAAACTTGCCAAAGATGTCTGTGAATGCTATTAAATCAACTTGTCTCAGTTGAAGCAATTAAAGCCTTCAAGTTGTATCTGTATCTGAAGTGGTGCAGAAAGTGCCAATGGTTTAAAATAATTGTTTTGAAATGAGCATGTTTAATGAAAGTCATTTTTGGAATATGAGACTTAGAAATGCATCCTAAAGATTTCATGTCAGAGGCAATGGAAAAGACCCATATCCAACTGTGTACTCTTCATTTCCAATTAAATGTCACAAAGATATCCTGAAATAAACACGCTTAAGACTAAACCATGGTTCCTTCCAGATCTGGTTCTCTTTCAGCGTTTCCTATCAAGGGAAATGTCTGGTTGTAGATCTATGATGACAACTGAATGCATTTAGAGAGGCAGATGAGGAAAATACGGATATGTATGGCAAATGTTTATTAATTCTCACCATGTGGAATGCAGGTGGGACAGGCAGGTAGAAATACAGGCAATTGGGAGTTAAGATTCTGGGGAGATGAATTCAGGCTGTGGATATGGATTTGGCAGTCATCTACATGAGTGATAGATGAAGTTAAGGAAGACAAATGAGCATTTGACAGGGGGAGAAAAAGAAGGAAGAGAGGAGCCAGAGTTTACTGTGCATCACAAAATCAAATGGAGTTTAACAGTGAAGTGACAGTGTCCAAAATCACAGTGGATGAGGAATGAGGGAAAGCCACTGGATTTATGTCCTTTGAGAGTTTCAGAAACATGGTGAGACTCGAAGCCAAATTACGGTAGTTATAAAAAGATGTATATGTGTATGTGTGTGTGTTCTAGTCCTTGCTTTACCTCTAACTGGTTGCTTTATGCAAGCTGCTCATGTCACTAGACCTCAGCTTTGTCTTCTTTAAAATGAAGGCATTCTTGACTAGACTCTAGACTCTTAAGAAGTCGAAGTAGACATTTTCAATGAACAAAAGAATAAATGAGTAGAACTGTATATATTTCCTACCAGTTCTAGAAGAAATTTCTATAGATAAGAAATGGTTAGTACCCATCCTTCACTTTAAGACCTCTTGTTGGGCAGCTCGGGTGGCTCAGCGATTTGGCCTTTAGTCCAGGGCCTGATCCTGGAGACCCAGGATGGAGTCCCACGTCGGGCTCCCTGCATGGAGCCTGCTTCTCCCTCTGCCTGTGTCTCTGCCTCTCTCTCTCCCTGTGTCTCTCATGAATAAATAAATAAAATCTTTAAAAAAATGTCTTGGGATCCCTGGGTGGCGCAGCGGTTTGGCGCCTGCCTTTGGCTCAGGGTGCGATCCTGGAGACCCGGGATCGAATCCCATATCGGGCTCCCAGTGCATGGAGCCTGCTTCTCCCTCTGCCTATGTCTCTGCCTCTCTCTCTCTCTCTGTGACTATCATAAATAAATAAATTAAAAAAAAAAGAATTTATAAAAAAATGTCTTGTTGTGAAAGGAAAACTATCAGTAATAGATTATTTGGTGGAACCTATATTATCAAGGAAAGGCTTTTCAAAACAATAGATTCTGGATTATTTTATCATTTGAACCTACAAAATACTTTATAATGTTGCAAAGCAAAGAGATACAGGAGACCCTTGACACTTAATTTTCTGACATGTATTTTTGTTTTGATTTTTTGTGAATGCAATTCTGCTAATATGGATTTCTTACCCCTTTGGCAGTGTTTTTTAGGTCATAGCATTGGTAACATTGGAATTCCATAATGTGCAAGAAAGAAAGCCTATTGCAAGTGCTGCATTGTCTGAGTAATTATATTCCTATACACTGCCAAACTTGTTTTCCTCCTCCCTTCTCAACAAATTCAACTTACTCATAAAGCCAATAGGTGACTTAAGGCCCCAGGGCTGATAAAATAATTGAACCACAAGTCTAGATTTTCAGTATCTGCAGTGAATCATTTTGAAAGCCTGATGTAAGCCCAAGGCCAGTCAATAGAGCTTAATAATTTTTTTAAAAAAAGATTTTATGTATTTATTCATGAGAGACACACACACAGAGGTAGAGACATAGGCAGAGGGAGAAGCAGGCTCCCTGTGGGGAGCCCCATGTGGGACTCAATCCCAGGACCCCAGGATCACGACCTGAGCCAAAGGCAGATGCTCAACTGCTGAGCCACCCAGGCATCCCAGAGTCTAAGAATTTTGAGTGAATTTTTTTTATTGGAGTTAAATTTGCCAACATATAGCATAACACCCAGTGATCATCCCATCAAGTGCCCCCCTCAGTGCGTCACCCAGTCACCCCCATCCCCCGCCCACCTCCCTTTCCACCACCCCTTGTTCGTTTCCAGAGTTAGGAGTTTCTTATGTTCTGTCTCCCTCTCTGATATTTCCCACTCATTTTTTCTCCTTTCCCCTTTATTCCCTTTCACTATTTTTTATATTCCCCATATGAATGAGACCATATAATGATTGTCCTTCTCCGATTGACTTATTTCACTCAGCATAATATCCTCCAGGTCCATCCATGTCAAAGCAAAAGGTAGGTATTTGTCGTTTCTAATGGCTGAGTAATATTCCATTGTATACATAAACCACATCTTCTTTATCCATTCATCTTTTGATGGACACCGAGGCTCCTTCCACAGTTTGGCTATTGTGGACATGGCTGCTAGAAACATCAGGGTGCACGTGTCCCGGCGTTTCACTGCATCTGTATCCTTGGGGTAAATCCTCAGTAGTACGACTGCTGGGTTGTAGGGTGAGTGAATTTTTTCAATATAAAATAATTACTATTTAAAGTGTATGTAACATGTCCTCTTTAGAGTCTTTTCTTCCCACTTACAATTTTTCCTCCAGAAGTTTATTTACAAATCTATTGTAAAAGTTCTGTTTTTATTATAAATTAAAATACACAGTATATATAATATATATATATATATATAATTGTATCCTTATTAAAAACCATATTTTCTTGGATATTTACTTTAATGAAGATCTACGAAGGGGATTTTCTCAGTGAAGAGGACTTGGATTATGAAACTGGATTCTAGAATTTTCTGACTGTCATTCCAACTGCAAATGGCTTTATCTGGTATCTATCTTAAAGAAGTCATTCTTTGGAGAATGGCATACTGGATGGCATGCTGGATACATTCTCCAAGCCAACCAGAAGGGCTCAGCTGTCTTTCCTGAATCTAACATATCTGACATATGAGCAAGGGGCGAATCAAAGCGGAAAAAAATATTTTAACAGCCAGAATTCATCACAGTTATTTAAACAACTAGAATTTTACTTTATTTCAGAATAAGTTTACAATTGAAAAAAAAGATATTTACTAAAGCCACATTATTCATATGAACAAAACTTGTATAGCAAAACCTTGGTACGTGAGCATCAGTAATTTGAATACTATATGTATATAGAAGATATTTAAAAAACGGAAATAACGTATTCCAAAGGCTATAGTAGGCACAATATATATGCTTGTATTGGGTCTGCAAGCATTATACTAGAATTCATTACATGTGATCCAAGAAGTTGCAGATTTTTCAGCACTGTGTACTGAAAAGATAGGAATATCATAGTTTTTCTTATGTTGAAAAGCATATACTCTCAATACTACAAAATAGGAGCAGCACGTCAAACCAACAAACAATTCTTCAGGTTTTGTATTACAGCTATGGCTTTTTAACATTGATTTTTCCGAGACTGGTTAGAAGTCTGGCAAGTGAAAAAGAAAAGAGTTTATAAGAAAACATTAATGACATCCTTTACAAGGCATCTGATATTCAACAGGTTCAAAACTGGGAAACAAAAAAATTGAGCTTGATCTTCGAGCAAAATTGAGAGGTACTACATCTGCTTCCTCCCACCAATCTTTTGGCATACAAATCTTTTTGCAGAAAAGTAAAATGGCAGAAGAATATTTTAAGATGAATCATTAGGATCTATTTTTAGTAAAGAATACAAGTCTTCTACAGACCAAGAAACTGGATATGGTCCTTAGGATAGAATTTTCTTATGTTTTGTAAAAAACTGGGTTGAACTATGTATTCATGCCAACAATGTATCCGTGCTGATAAAGCGAACATTTGGCAAAAATGAGAAAAAAAATGTTAGATTTCTCAGAGCATACTACTACTACTTCCTATTAAAATTGCCTAAAAGGTAAAAATGTACATCTTAGATTCTCAAAGGTTTTATTTTCCAACTAGCAATTAAATGTAAGTGTCAAATTGAATCATGCAGTATTTTTTTTTACCTATCAGCTACCGTGTGATTAATATTAGGGGGAGAGAATTCTTTCCCCCCTTTAGACGTGTAATGCTCACAAGTCATCATGTGGAACTCAAATCACACACAAAGCCAAATCATGAAGAAACTTTAAATACTTCAAAATGCCCACGAAGGCATGCCAGAAATAATACAGAATGTTGGAAGCCAAAACTAAAGCAGTAGATGTTACTGCAACTTCTAGGTCTTTAATGCTGCTTTTTTTTTTTTTTTTTTTTTTTTGGATAGATTCAGGTCGGGGGGTGGAGGGAGGGCGTCATCTCTCTGGTGGTTAGCCCATAATTTCTGCAGGTTCAGTGACCAACTTGGATCCATCCCAGACTGTCTTGAACTGTTCTGGAACAGGAAATTCTCTCTGGAAAAATGCAGAAGAACAAAGTATCTTAAATCAGGGCTTCCCTTTGCAAACTGATTCGTGTCACATAGGGGACAATGGTATTTTATGGAAACCAAAACTGTGTTGTGGAGAGGTCTTCTGTGTCCCGTGGATACTTGCTTGCATAGTTGTGTGTAAGCTCTGTGACTGTCTGCTGGTGTCATCATTAAAGCTAGAACCTCCTCAGAACCAGGCAGTCCTCTAAGTACTAGGTATATGTGGACTTAACCTACAGCCCTATGAGCTAGGTGTTACTGAGAGGCCATCTACTGGACACACGTCTGGGAGGTCAAGCAGATGGCTGAAGATGGTATCGCCAAAAGCAGGGCAGCCAGACATCAAGCCAGACAGCCCCTCTGCCCACTCTCTGCCACACTCAAACCTGCACAGGATCAACTGGGGAGCCTGTTAAAATGCAGATTCTGATTAAATCTGGCAAAGAGAATGACAATCTGTATTTCTAACACGTTCCTTGAGGACAGTGAGGCAGCTGATCCCTAGTCATGCGGAGTAGAAGGCTTTGCCCTGGTGTTCTCTGGATACTTCTTGATCAACTATGAAGGTGAGCTTTGGATTATATGTAACAAATATATATATTTGTCTTGTGTCCTGCCACCCTACCCCTCCCATTGGGAAATACAAGCATGTGCACCACATAGGGAGAGAGAGGGGGCAGGGTTGGCGGGAGGGGGTGGTGGTGGGAATGCAATAGAGCCAAAATAAAAGATTGAAATATCTCCTTTCCTCAGAAAGTGATTCTGCAGTCACTCCAGAAAAGGATGGACAAAGAAGGTGAGAAGCAGTACACTGGGTCCCGGCTTCTATGCCCTCCCAGGACTTGATGTACACACAGCACTGCTGAAACCCCGAGGGTCTGATGAGCTGATGCCTATGTTCACCCATCAATGAGATGTCATGTTTCAGTGGAACACACACACACATATACACACATGAGTACACATCTTCTTAGATGTAGGATCCAACTGCCTCTTTTGGAAGTAAACAAGGCTTGGTAGTTGCTCTCAAGTACCAGGCCAGGTAAGCAATGCCCCAGAGTGAAGGCATTTCTTTGATAGTTAACCCTACTACAGCCATTCCACATCTTTTTTGGGGGTGAACTGATAGTCATACGACAGTGTTCTTCTCTGGGCAACTGATTTCCTTCGGAATGAATCATCCCCACCATCCATTCCCAGATTACAATGCCCACGGCAGGACCCCTGGATTGCTCCCTACTACCTACGACTAGAAAATCTAAGAGGAGGACCATGAAATGAGGACACAACATAATCTACCTGAGGATGATTCTACAAACGAAAGAGACTACTTTTTCAGCATAAAAGCTCAAGTTTTGATCCATACTCATGCCTTAGGTCAGTGAATCTCAAGCTTGGCTTTACATCAGAATCACCTGAGAAGCCTTAACAACTACAGATGTCTGGTACCATGTCCAGGGATGCTAGCTTGATTAATCTGGAAAGCTGATCTAGACCATTGCTTTTCTTAGCAGATCCAGTTCCCATGCCTTCTGCTGAGCCTTCTGCCGAACAGCTGCAAAGGCCAGGGACCACCCTCGTTTTTGGCTCTCTCGTCCAACACGTCTCCGTATCAGCTTTAGCTCCTCAGTAGTTTTTAGGGAGAGAAAGTGAGAGGGTTCTCCTCAAGCTCAGAGTTAGGCTGGCCAAACACCTAGCAGTGAAGCACGGCCCAGGGCTGGTGGACTTTTGTTTTTCAGCCCTCCGTGATGAATTCTAGGCTGCATTATGTAGCACGTGGCTGGGCAGTGCTGAAGAATCTACTGACGGGTGAGAGAAGGGGGACCTGGGAGCATGGGTGCTGTCTGCCTGGGGAGATGGCTGGTGACTGACCCACAGGCTGATGGGGTGCCTTCGAGGTTACTGTTTCTTCCATCCTTCCCTGGGTCACTGCCTCCCTGCACAGTTAGAATCAGAGGGAATCATCTCTGGATTCATCTGTACTTCCAAGAAGCAACAACAGGAAGGGAGCAATAACTTACTTCCAAAGAGCAGCAACTGGGCAGCTCGGGTGGCTCAGCGGTTTAGGACCGCCTTCAGCCCAGGGCATGATCCTGGAGACCCAGGATCGAGTCCCACGTCAGGCTCCCTGCATGGAGCCTGCTTCTCCCTCTGCCTGTCTCACTCTCTCTCTCTCTCTCTCTCTCTCTCTGTGTGTGTGTGTGTGTGTGTCTCTCATGAATAAATAAATAAAATCTTAAAAAAAAAACAAAAAACAAAGAGCAGCAACTAGCAAGCCCACCATACTAGGTGATGCAGAAAATGTATTCATTTAGACTTCCTCTTCGGTGTGTGAGGATATCTGCCTGCTTCTAGAAGCTGCCTTGTTGGGGAGAGGAGGCATAAAAAACAAACGGTGGCAAAAACATCTAGGCAGTATTTCTCAGAAGGGCTGGATGGACTGATGGCATCAGAATCACCTGAGATGCCGATTAAAATACAGATTCCTCAGAGCCCTCCGGAAGCCTCCTGAATACAACCTCCAGGTGCAGACTTTGGGAGCTGGTATTTTCATGGAGCTTCTTGGCTGATCCTTACGCTGAATTCGAGAACCCCTGACATAAGGCTACCTACAGAAATAGGCCTATTTATCATCACCCCCCTCCCTCCCGTGCTTCCCCCAAAGCATTTCTCCCTACTTTGTTGCCCTCCCCCATAGCAAAGGAAAACAATCCTAAATACCATGAACTCAGATGTGCCAGGTACTATTTGATGAAAGCTCAGCCGTTAAGGTAATTATTACTGAAGGGCCTAGAGAATCACAAATCCAGAAATGAGCACAGTCAAGAAATGGTAGAAGAAATGCGAAAGGCAACTCTCCGAATTCCTCTCCTGCCTGTGAATTATTCTACAAATGAAGCTCATACGTTGGGAGTCAATCTCTAAGAATGTTAATAAGGAAGGCTCAAGAAAAATTCTTTACCATCTTGTAAAAGGTACTTACGTAATCCCCATCCTGAGGAATAAGGACATTCATTTCGGACGATTTGGCACTCACGATCTCACAGTCCAGCGCATCTTCACTGAGGTATATGTGGCAGCCTTCTGTTTTATTAATGGAGATTGTTGGCACTTTCCCCATTACCTGAAACAGACAAAAGAACAACCTGGCACCCAATATAAAGAAATAACAATTACAATGTCCTCAAATAGGCACAATCCATGGGCTTCCCCAAGCTTTAGGAAGAGCTGGGTCAGGGCTGGAGGGGCGGGTGAGCGCACCATCTCCAGGCCCACCTGGTGCGTGTCATCTGGGGACAGAATGAAAGGACCACACAAAGAGATTCTCAAGCCTCAGGGTCTCCATCCTGAGACAAAATAAAGGGATTAATGTGAAAAGAGCAGCTAAGTGTTCAGAAAAAGTCTCACAACCCTCTAGTGGATTTGAAACTTATATTTGATTTCACGATAAAAGTAACAAGACACATTTGCTTTTATTTGCTTAAAATTTTAGTTCTGACAAATCCATGAATCTTGGGTTAAAACAAATACTAATACGGTCACTTAAGAGTAAAGACATCATTCTGTAACTGAGTAGATTTTTCTTGAAGCTAAATAAGAAACACCACAATTCTTTTCCCATAAATCTTTGGCCAGATAAAAATCTCACTGGCTGAATGTGAAGCTTGAATGAGACAATGAGTGTCTAGGTATTTTGAAATGTATTAATTCCAGGAGCCAAAAGTGGGGACTTGGTTCAGGCCACTCATTGGCATCGATAAACCATACACAAGAGGAGGTGATTCTTTATATTGTTTACAAATATCTGAGTGCTATAAAAATCCGGCCCAGTTTCAAATTTCTCTTTGAACAGTTTTCAGACATCCCTCCAGCAAATCTCTATAGACTGCTCCCCCAATGACTATATTACCACTCTATAATTTTCCTCCTTGTAATGGTAATTGAAGTGATAAAGACATCTCCTCTTTCACCCTGAAGAAAAAGGCTGGATTGCAAACCCAAGGAGCAACTTCTGTTGATGGTGCAGATGATGTAAAGAATTCCTTAGGGGGAGTCTAGCCAGGTCACCACACTTCTCTGTTTTCTCCTCTCTCCAAAGAAACTGGACACTGGGTTAGAAATAAGCCCCAGTGCCAAAAAAAAAAAAAAAAAAAAAAAAAAAAGCAGAGGTAGTTCAAGGTCAGGTAAGCACAGGGCTTTGCCATAAATAAACTAAAATAGTAATAATGCATATATATTTCCAGAATGTGTCAGCAGTAATGTTTTGGTCATTTCTAGACTTGTTTATCTTACAGTGATGAAGACCATTTACACGCTGCCCAGAACGGTATGGGAAGCCAGGCAAGTGGAGAGAAAGGATAAACTGTCATGGGTCTTTGGTTATTTGTCCGTGAGGCAGAATGGGGTCATGTGATGCAGGCACATGACACTAATATGCTTTACTTATATTTATATATTGCTATATTATATTAAAAATGCTTAGATACCCCACATATCTGAAAGTCTGAAAAAGCAACAGCAGACCTTAAAACATCTCCCTGATATGGTAAGAACTGTCTTTCCCACAGTGTTTTGGTCAACAGTGCATTAGAGCAGATTGTACACATGCTCTTTTTCCCTGGTGGTCTGGGAACTGTTTGAAAACAGAGATTGTGTCTTATCAAGAGAACAGGGCCAAAGAGTATCTCCTCTGCTGAGTGTCAGGTGACGTGTGACCTTGCCTAGGCCAATTGCTCTAGCACTTTTTTTTGTTTTGTTTTTGTTTTGTTTTGTTTTTGCTCTAGCACTTTAATACGTTTCTGTATTAGTTTGGTTTTTCATAAATTTATTTCTCTACAAAACATTTTTTAAAGACTTTATTTTTAAGTAATCTCTACACCCAACGTGGGGCTGGAGCCCACAATCCTGAGATCAAGAGTCACATGCTTCACTGACTGAGCCAGCCAGGCACCCCTATATCTCTATAAAATTTTTTTTTAAATGTCATGTTAGGGGGATCCCTGGATGGCTCAGTGGTTTAGTGCCTGCCTTCGGCCCAGGGCATGGTCCTGGAGTCCCGGAATGAAGTCCTACGTCAGGCTTCCTGCATGGAGCCTGCTTCTCTCTCTGCCTGCGTCTCTGGCTCTCTCTCTCTCTCTCTCTCTCTCTCTCTCTCTCTCTGTGTCTCTCATGAATAAATAAATAAAATCTCAAAAAAATAAAAAATAAATAAAATGTCATGTTATACTTAGTCTCTTCTCTCTCTCATAATTTGTGTTTTTTATTTTGAGGGTATAGTTTGCCAAAAACAGAATTACTGGACCAAATCATACGAACTTTGGTTGCATGCCCCTTTTTGTCATTTCAATCTTTTTTTTTAATAAAGATTTTATTTATTCATGAGAGACACACAGAGAGGCAGAGACACAGGCAGAAGGAGAAGCAGGTTCCCGTGGAGAGCCTGATGCAGAGCTCCATCCCCAGACCCCGGACCTGAAGGCAGATGTCAACTGCTGAGCCACCCAGGCGTCCCTTCAATCATTTTTTAAAGTAATGAGGTAAAATCTGCAAACATAAAATTCACCTGTTTCAAGTACACAATTTAATGATATTTAGTAGGTTTATAGAACTCTGCAACTTATCACTTCAGTTCTAGAATATTTCCATCACTCCCCAAATACCCCTAATGCCTGTTTATAATCAATACCTGGCCTCACCCCGGGGCAATCACTGATCTCTAGTGTGCCCAGGCCCTTTTGAAACAATGTGTTAGATGTTTTAAATATGTAATGACATTCACTTGGTTTGAACATCCAAAGGCTTGAAAAGTATTCAATAAAGTGTCTCTCTCCTGTCAAGTTTTTAATCCCTCTTGGACAGATAACCACAGTTCATCCTTCCAGATTATTTTTAGAACACATGCCCGTATCTCCAAAAAATTAGGATATATTTCGACCAAAAAACCATAGAAAATATAACAAATGCACATATATGTGTGTATATATATGTCAAACATTTATCAGAGTTTAACATTTTGGCTTATATTTTTTAGGACTATAATCTTACCATATGGTTGAAATCCCCTCTGTACCATGCACCACCTCCTTCATGCCACCCCCCCCCCCAGCTGCCTCCGATGAAAACAATCTTCTGAATTTTGTTCGAAGTGCACCACTCACACCAGATCTCTCCCAGAGCATGGTGACCTGGAGCTCTCATAAGCGTAGTTTCTTTTTTTTTTTTTAAGTTTTTATTTAAACCCCAGTTACCATACAGCGTAGTATTAGTTTTAGGTCCTCACAAGTATATTTAACATATGTGTTTTGTTTGCATGTTTTCAATCTTTATATAAAGGGACACATGGTACAGTGCCTGTCATTCTGTCATCGGTCTGTATTGCTCAGTTATTTTATTATTAATAAATTATTTTAGATAAATAAATTATTTATTTTACTTCTTTTTTAGAGAGAGTGGAGAGGCAAGAGGGGAAGAGGGAGAGGGAGAGAATCTTAAGCAGGTTCCATCTCATGACCTAAGCCAAAACCAAGGGTCGGATGCTTAACCAACTGAGCCACCCAGGTACCCATCTTTCTTTTAAAAATGGTTATATGGTAACTATTTTTGTTTAGAATTCAGAAGTTTAAAATTTTTAAGTAGATTTTTTTTGATAATTTCTACTACTTCTCAATTTAGAATTATTTCCCCCTCCAAAAATGTGATGAATACTTAAAACTGTTTTCTTCTATTTTTCTATAGCTTCATGTTTTATATTTAATTCAATGGGTTTTTAATTTTTTTTAAGATTTTATTTATTTATTCATGAGAGACAGAGAGAGAGAGAGAGAGAGAGAGAGAGAGAGAGAGAGAGAGAGGCAGAGACACAGGCAGAGGGAGAAGCAGGCTCCACGTGGGGAGCCCAAGTGGGACTCCATCCCGGGTCTCCAGGATCACACCCTGAACTGAAGGTGGTGCTAAACCGCTGAGCCACCCGGGCTGCCCAATGGGTTTTTAATTTTGAACGTGATGTATTTTCAATAAAAAATGCTCTCCTGGCATGCCCCACATACCCCCAATATTTGGGGAGGAACAGCATTATTAAATAAATGGAAATATGTGGTTGTCAGAAATGGTAATTTGGGAGGTGGTATTATAGAATACAAGCTTCATGAGGGCAAAGATTTTTGTCTCGTTTGCTTACTGATATCTGTAGAGCTGAGAACAGTATGTTCAGTAAACATTTGGCAAATGAATGATCGAGTGATTCATTGCTAAGTGGCCCTGGGCATAGAACTCACAGTTTAGAACCCTCAAGTGTGACCCGAGGATGGTCAAGTTTTTCTGTTTACAGGGCAAAGGCAACAATACAGTAAACGCCTGGGAGGAGTTTCTTGGTGGCTTTCTCCTGAGTGGTTCTCTATCCAGGAATGGAATTTATGAAGAAGTGGAAGCAGCATGGGTAGGGAGGGGCAGGGGATTTACACAGATGCACTGCAGACTATATGGAACTGGAATGTGGAAGAGATACATGTACCCACAGAGCCTATGTGGCAACAGTATTTGGAATTGGGGTGTAGAGGACTTAGAATCTCTCAGCTACCCTTGTGTTTCAGGGCAGAGGTGAAGCCAACTTGCCCAAGTGCATGCAACAGGTGAGGGTTGAGCTGGGGCTCACGTTCAGGGCTTGGGGTGCCCAGAGCTGGGCTCTTTCCATTAAATGGACACACATAAAACCAACATCTTAAATAGTGGTGAGTTAAATGTAAAATGCCCATTTGAATGTACTCTTATTGAAAGTGACAGCAGGAAAAAGCCCAGTAAAACAAGAGCGAAGGATCTATAAAACCAGAATCCAACTTTAACAAATGTTATCAGGAAACATGAGATCATAAGGGGCTAATTAACAATATGAAGAGAGGAGTGCCTGGCTGACTCAGTGGGTACAGCACGTGACTCTCGATCTCGGGGTTGTGAGTTTGACCCCCAAGTTCGGTGTAGAGATTACTTAAAAATAATATCTTAAAAAAAAGCATTATGAGGAGAGCGTAATCAAAGGTGGGAGTTGTAGCTGGCTAAAGGCAAGAGGTCCTTTAACTTGTGGCGTATCGTAAAATCCCATTGGGTTAAATCAAAATTTACAAAAGGAGGGCATGTTTTCTTTTAGTCTGCAAATTCAATTTCAATCTTACTTTCCAGGTTGTTCATCTGATTATCTCACGGACTCTTCAGAAAAATTCTTCCTCCTACTCAGAACCAGTGCTTCCTGAGCAAAGAAAATTCTCTTTGGGATGGTGCTATTAGGCTGGAAGAACATTATTAGACACCGACTCTGTGCAGGTGCTGTGCCAGTGTCTGCTGCTGTAAAGATCAATTATGTGCCCCTGAAACAGGCAGGGTAAACAAGTGATTGCAGGGCAAGATGGGATAGGCTGTGTTGTAAGAGATTGAAAAAGAGGAATTAACACCATCCAAGAGAGGAGGTGATGACAGAGTGGTGTCTGAAGGAAAGGGAATAGAATAGAAGTGCTCTAGGTGGACATGGCCAGCCCCAAGCAGGCAGCTGTATATGGTCTGAGCACAGCTGCAGAGGGGGCCAAAGGCCTGGCTCAAAAGGCCACTTATGTGGGGGGGTGCCTGGGTGGCTCAACTGGTTGAGTGTCAGACTCTTGGTTCTGGCTCAGGTCATGATCTCAGGGTCCTGAGATTGACCCCCTGTTTCAGGCTCCTGTTCAGTGTGGTGTCTGCTTCAGATTCTCTCTCTCTCTGCCCTTCCCCCCACTTGCTCACTTTCTCTCTAAATAAACAAAATCTTGAAAAAGAAAGAAAAGGCCAACTTACCTGCATTTGAATATCCTTGGAATTGATCACTTCCACAATGCCTACCACGTTGTCAAACACAAGGCCAAACTTCTTACAGTTGTCTAGGAAAACCAAACCAAAGCAAAGCTTTATTAAACACACAGCATGTGGATGCCAAGCAACTGACCATGTAACTACAGGGCCACGGCGCTGCCCTACCAATTGTAATGGAATTTATTTTTCCTTTCATCTGTAGAGTAGACTTGTTGCATTTGAAAATGTAAGCCACTTGTTTCAGTTCCGTCTCTGCAATCACAAGGTCATTCCTGCCCTCTTGGTACTCCTAAAATGAAAACAAATACAAATATTGGATCTAAGGGCATACAAATGAATGGGGAGTCCCATTGCATGCTGAAATTACTATGGGGTTCAACATTAATTACGGCTTTTCAATATGTTCTTTCAAAACCACTTCTTCTTTTTTTTTTTTTAACAGACCAACCAAATCACAGGTCTTGCTCTATTATTGTAATGATGGGAATGGATGAAACGACTGCCTGGAAGGGGGTCAGTCAGTGTCCATTTGTGAACCACCAGATATCAAGTACCCAGGGTTGGTGAGTTAGGGCTGGAGCAGGGATGTGGGAGCTTCCTGTTGAGTCGGTACCCTGAATCTGGCCTTAATACTGCAGCAAAATCTGCTGCATCAGATAGGAGTGGGGGAAACAGTCTGGTGATAATGGCCGTGTGAGCCCCAGTGTATTTTCAGCCCGAGACAACCTTCCTGGGGTCTGTGGTCCTTCACCTTTGGGGGAGCTCCCCAGATTGGCAAGAGGTACCCTAGTTTCATGCACATACCCTTGTCCACAACGGTTGCCAGCACTGGGTGGAGCGCTGGTGACATTAGTGCCTCTGTCAGTGGGATAGAATATCCTACAGACAACCAGAATGGGGCACAGATCAAAAGTCTATGTAAAGAATCACCAAATAGAGACAGAAAGGAGAAAGGTGGTTGCTGGAGCTGAGGTGAGGGGGGAGCCAGGCACAGGTTTGTAGTTTTACAAGCAGGATGGAGTTCTGCAGATGGATGGGCTGATGGCTGCTTAGCAACCTGAATGCACTCAATGTCTGAGTCGCTACATCCACGTCAATGGTAAGACGGTAAATTTTATATCATGTGATTTTACCATAATTAAAACAAAATTTAAAAACATTAAAAAATGATGCAAGAGAAATAGTGAAAAACAAACAAACAAACGTTAAGTGTTCAGAAATGCCCTGGTTTCTACTCTAGCCAGTGGCTTTGTGCCTTTGTCCCTTCACTCAGAAACCGTCCAGACCTTGGTACATGGTTTGGTGGTTGGTCATTTCAAGGGAGCGGGGTGGGGATCAAGGTTAAAGGGTTTCACTTACTACTCTCCACTTCTTTCCTTCCAACTCCAACACAGGAACATGTTTCTGAGAAGGATGAGATTGGGGAGCTCTGGAGCCTGGAGTGTGGCTTTTGGTAGGAGATGGTGTTTGTCCTCCTGGAGCCCGTAGGCTGGGATTCTTGTGTGTCTTCTGGTCATCTGTGACATGCCGGAGCCCTGGGAAGGTAGCACACAGCTACGTGTCTTTGTACTTTGTGCGAAGGGAAATGTTCCTAACCTCTTAGCTCAATATGATGTAAATAGCACAAAAAATTTTGATAATGTTACTTTCATAACAGTTTGGTGTTCTCTCAAGGTTAATAACGGGCAGGGTCTGAGATGTTATAAATGTAAAGTTCATTAGAAGCACAGTAAACATTTCTTAAATTGGAGGAACCTCTTCTTTAAGGAGATAAGATGATAGATAAGAATTCTACAAAAAGCAAACCACCTGGCCAAAAAGGACCCCATGATTTACTTCTTTTCTCGTGGCTAAATCATTCATCAGGCATAGCCTAAAAGGACAAAGGACAGGGCTTTCCAGCAAGTGTATGTCAGAGTACAGAATCGACTTTAGGGTCATGAGTCTATTCCTTTCTTATGCAGATGGAGGGGACAGCCCAGCAGTTGGAGCCAGAGAAAAAATTTGAATTTGGGGCTCTTAGCTCCTAGCCCAGTGCACAGGGACAAGTAGACCATAACTCGTTTTACCTGTGTAAAGCACAGATGTATTTGCACAAACCTTATTGTTTAGAATCCATGTACATCCTGATATATTTTAACTGTTTAAAAAAAACCCACTTATGGTGAGTTCAATACTTCAATGATATAATTATTTAGCAGACCTGTACACTGCTAGAAGACAGAGGTATGATATTTCACTCAATCTTAATGCCTTGGTTGTAGATGGTGCTGAAGCATCAGAGGCTTGGAATGATGTCCATCCATCACTGTGGGCTCTGGGGGATCTGTCTGCCAGTAGTCAGAGGGAGATGGCATCAAGGTCTGGTTTTCTCACCTTTCGTAATTTCTTCTCCTTGGTTAAGCTGGGCAAATAGAGCTGAGCGTGAAGGGGAGGACTCCTCTCTTCTGCCTTCATTCTCAAAGAATGGAGGTGGTCCTGGAGGAGGTGGAGGAGGAGGGGGTGGAGGAAGGCCAGGGCCAGGGGAGAGGACAGACAATGCTGATGCAGTTGATGCTACTGGACCCTGTGGGAGAGAAAAGATGGAAAGCATTGCCTTCAGGCTGATGCCCTCACTGAGGCTGAGGATTTTGCCAATGTCTCTATGAACCTGTTGCCAATGAGGAAGTGGGGTTTAAGACTCACAGCAGGCACTGAGAGGGCATACGTGTGCATCACAGGTCTGGGAGCCCTGGGACTGAGGCAGGGACCCACCTTGGGAATGGAGCATGACCCAGCTCTACAGCCCTGCTGGTGGAAACTGCACACCCAGGGTTCATGCTGCTAACTCAGAGGCAAACAAAGCCATATTCACAGGGTCAAGTCCAAAGCTCAGAGCTTGAATTGAACCAGCCTTGGCCAGTTGAGAATCATAAGAAAAATGTAGTCTAACTGATAAGAGGATTCAACTTTTTTTTTGGCCACTGGGAATTGAACCACCAATGAGATAGAGAGAGAGAGAAACATGGAAAATACTTAGTGGTTATTAGGTGTTTTTTGAAACTTTTTGAGCAGCTCGAGAAAGAGATACTGAAACTCTTTCTCTGGAACTCACTTTTTAAGTATGCAGTCTAATTAAGATTAGGTATTTAATCTGGCCTCCAAGCAAGGGCCTTGTATGACCTGGATGCCCATCACATCTGCAAGCGATGGTGGTCCAGGACCCATAGGATGGTTTCATTCATCTAATGCTGATAGTGAACTGATAAAAAAAACTGAATCCTTTCTAAGCAAGATATGCTTACTTTTATTTTTGCTGCTATGTGAAATTCAAGTGTTTTTAAAATATTTTTTTAATTTATTTGAGAGAGAGAGAAGGTGAGCACCAGCAGGGTGAGAGCCAGAGGGAGAGAATCTCCAGCAGAATCTGCACTGAGTAGGACTTGATCCTACCACCCTGAGATCACGACCTGAGCCAAAACCAAGAACCAGACGTTCAACCAACTGAGCCACCCAGGTGCTCCGTGAAATTCAAATACTGCTTTCACTATGAAGTTCTAGCAAATCCACATGACAGTAAAAGATGCTAGCAGTAGAGGAATTTGTTTCAAATGTTTTGAGAGGACCACCCCCCACCCCCCTCAACAGATGGTGTTCTCACCGAACTTAAAACTAGCAGGATAGAAATACACATATGCCACAAACTTGGGTGATACGCTATTTTACTTTTAAACTTGAAGTAGAAATGTATACCTATGATAAGGAATTATAAGTTAGATCAATGAAAAAAAACAGTCAAGAAAATTAGGAGTGTTTGAGTGTCTCAGTGGGTCAAATGTCTTCTTTTTTTAAATTTTTAAAAGATTTATTTATTTATTTGAGAGAATGAGAGAGAGAGAGAGAGAGAGAGAGAGAGACAGAGATTGCGCAAGAGTGAGGGGAGGGGCAGAGGGAGAGGGAAAATCTCAAGCAGACTCCCCGCTGAGTGTGGAGCCTGACACAGGGCTCGATCCCATGACCTCAGGATCACTCAATTCTTGAGACTGGCCAAATTTTTTTTTTTTTTTTTTAGTATCTTAAATGTTTACTGTTCTGTTGCTGGGGTGAAATTTGAGAATTTGCTCCGAATCATAAGTAGCATATCATATAAGCCTTGGGCATGCAACAATATTCCAGTGCTCAGTTCCAGATGCTGAGAGCCCTCAAGTATTAGTTTTACTCATAAGCACATAATAATTCATACAGGGAGTGAAGGGCCAGACCCTTCCTCACCTCCCAGATACTGTAGCTTTCTAGTTTTGTGGAAAGGAGAGAGGATCCTGGCTTCCATATCTTAGAATGATTTAGGTGGTGCCCAGCTCTCAGAATTCACTCTCTCTCTCCAAGAGCCATTAGAGAACACTGAAACCAACTTTTTGGAATTTTGATACCTTCAGACGGCTGACCCAGGGACACCACACAAAGGATTTACAACAATGGTTGGATATAGAAGCCAAAAACGAAGAGAACTCAGAACCAGCCGAAACCCTCCACTTATTCTTCGTAGCTTCTGGCTCATTGCTGTATCAGCCCCACTGAAAGCACAAAACTAGGCTCTGGTTTCCAAGGGGACTTGACAGTGAGCACTCGGGCACTTTCCTGCAGACAACATACTCAAAAGCAAACGTGTTAGACATTCCCTTGGCAGGACTCTGGGGGCTGTCCCTTGTAGCACAACCTGTCTTTGTCTCTTCCTCCTCTTCTCCTCTGGGATATCACAGCGCATGGTACCAGAGCATTCTGCATTCTCACATCCCACTGGATTCACAGCCCAGCACTAATCTTCAGGCATCCCAGTAGAAAGAGGGGGAGCCAAGAATTCTGGAAAATCTAGCGTGTGCCAGATACTGATTGTCTCTATTCATTTAACAGACATTTAATGTTCAGCATAGGACAGGCTTGATGCCGGGCGTTCCCAAACATGTGTGAACATTAGCATTATTTGGGGATCTGTTAGAAATTTGAAAGCCCAGCCCTCATCACAGAAACGTGGTCTAGGGAGGGGAGACACGGGCATCTGTATTTTTTGAAGCTTCCTAGGTGATTCCAATATGCAGACAAGTTTGGGAAGAATCATTCCATGCTATTCCGTGCTGAGATTAATCTTAGTTCTCATAATATTATTACTAGGACCATCTTGAAATCCCTCCTTAACAGAAAACAAAGCAGGAAATGAGAAAGACTGACCCAATAGTAAATGGAAGAGACATAATTAGAGCACATATCTGCTTGATTCCAAAGTCTTCTTCAGTGAAATCCTGTATATTATATTCAGGCTTAAAAAAAATAGTCACGAGTATAATTGCAGAACCAGAGATACAGGCTACCTCAACACATATGTACATAGTGTTGTTCTTGGGCCTTTGGCTCAAATATACGTGGTAGAAGTATGGGGAGGTGGTGTCATAACTGGCTTAATTTTTATCTCCACTCTGCCTTGGTCTACTCCTCTAATGCCCCATTCAACTCTAGAAACACGACCCCTATATCCTACAGAGACATAGGAAGTCTTGGGTGTTGAAACCCGCACCTCAGCATCAAGTCACCCTTGGTGCTGGTTTGTTGTGACTCTAGGCCCTTCGTTTGAGACACTGGCCTCTTATTCCTGAGACTTTACTGGTTCCCGTAATGGGAATTTGCACCTAATCTTGGTTCTTTGCCTAGTGTTTATGTTTTTCTGGGATGGGGACCTGACTCCCCTTTGGGGATCAGAGATTCAAGGGCCTTGCCCCTTGGTGTGATTTCCTTTTAGAGATAACACATCGGATTGTCTAGACTGAGTGAGAAGCAGTGGATCAGATCAGGGCTTATAGCCTCCACTGCCTGTTGAGTGATGTCCAACATCCTATACTGTCCTTGGGATGGAGGCCATGTGGGAAGCAGAGCACAGAGGAGAAAAGAGTACAGGAAGAGGACATAGGTCATACTATGAGCCGGGTCACTTCAGGGATAGAGAAGGATGACTCCCAACTGGGGAAGCTTGCCTGGAGATGCCAAACAAGGCTGGGAAGAGCCTCTGAACCAAACGTGCCTGCTCCAGGACCCTGCAAGGGTCACAGGGGATGGCATTTAATGCCTGCAGATAGCATTCATTTCTCAGCAGGGGGTATGTGGTCAGATGTGCCCATGCAGATTTAAATAAAGACATCTGGGGTGTCTGGGAGGCTCAGGGGTTAAGTGTCTGCCTTCAGCTCAGTTCATGATCTCAGGGTTGTGAGAGCATGCAACCTACTTAACATGAGTAAGTAAGTAAGTAAGTAAATAAATAAATAAATAAAATAAAGACATTTAATAAAAGATGTCATTTACTTGCAAATTATCTGAATATTCCTAGTCCTTCTAAAACAACCTTTTCCTTAATTAAAAAAAATATTTTCAGTGCGTTTTACCCTAATAAGTATTTTAATTTTGTCTCTCTAGTGAAGAATCACACATCTAAATGCTCAGGCCCTACAGGATTCTGAGATCACGTGACTTGCACAAGATCACACAGACTGGAAGGTAAAGGTGAGGACAGAAACAGACCTGCAGGGACAAAGGTTGAACCTCAGTAAGCAGCAGTGACCCCACCACACACAGATGTGTTTCAAAAATACTACTTTGATGGAGTGCCTGGGCGACTCACTTGGTTGAGCATCCGACTCTTGATTTCGGCTCAGGTTGTGACCTCAAGGTGGTGAGCTGGAGCCCTGAGTCTGGCTCAGTGCTTAGCGGGAAGTCTGCTTGAAATTCTCTCTCTCCTTCTGTCCCTCTCTCCACTCGTGACATGTGCTTGCTCTCTCTCACTGTCTCTCTCTCAAATAAATAAAATCTTTTAAAAAGAAAAAGTAGTACTTTTATATGTTGATGAAACAAGTCTCAAATATACTTAGAGCCTCAGACTGGAAACAACTGAAAAACACGTTTTACTAAAGTCATTGTTAACAATGGCTTGCAACTTTAAAAAAAGGTAAAGCAGCATATTTATGATTTTAAATGGCCACATTCAAGGTGCAAAAATTCACCTATGTTGCAGCAAGAGCACAGCACAAAATCTAGAAATGCTGCATTTGGGAGCTATTAAGATTAATTTTGAGAGCAGATGTTTGATTATATGCTTTTGTGGGGGATGGACTTTTAAAAACATCTGCATATCTCTTCCTCCTCATTAATTTCAACTGTCCTGGGAACAGCTGTCTCTTCTGACTTTAAATATATGAACTATAAAATAATGAAACCATTTTATGTGGCATGTGAAATGCTTATAATGTTGCAGTTATATATGCTATATATATAATTATATAACTATATTACATGTAATATAGCTATGTCCTAATAGGCACAGAATTTTTTCATTAAATGTTAGTTGAATTAATTACTAATCATTTTATTACTTTAGAATTTAGATTTTATTCTGAAGAAGGAACTACTTCTGGTTCATAAACGAAACCTCATTGTTTTGCTGGTGCAATTGTGGATGTCATTAACAACATGCTTCTTCCCCAAAGACAACCACCATTGCCGTGGTTATCCAGTTAGGGTATATATAGTCTAGCTTTGGATCTAAAG